GTATAGACCTGTATGGCATTGGTCAGGGCTGGGCACAGGTGGGCCATTATAGACCATCTCTATATTATGACATTGGTACAAACTTCACCCCCTAAGTTATGATAACATTGTGAACCCCCAAAAACCTTATTTTACTAAAGTATAAATGTGACCCCAGAAGAGCACTGATTGAGCAGGTACACAAGGTGGCCACACTGGACACCATCCTGCTGGTGTCACTTATAGCAGAGACCTACCTGGGTGGTCACACTAGACACCATTCCGTGGGGGGCGGGGGGTCACCCATGGTTGCAAAGAACATGCAGGAGGCAATTCTAGTAGCTCTGTCAATGTTTCTCTCCTCATCCTCTCTGCCTATTATAATCTGCCCCTCTAAAAGCAGTGAGACGGATGAGCGGCGACCTGTGCCGAATCTTCCTTTCCTCTGTAATAGGTACAGCGGGTGTACAGACCCGGGACCTCAGCACAGGGATGGTGGGGGCCCCTCATAATGGGCACAGCGGGTGTACAGACCCGGGAACTCAGCACAGGGATGGTGGGCGCCCCTCATAATGGGCACAGCGGGTGTACAGACCCGGGAACTCAGCACAGGGATGGTGGGCGCCCCTCATAATGGGCACAGCGGGTGTACAGACCCGGGAACTCAGCACAGGGATGGTGGGCGCCCCTCATAATGGGCACAGCGGGTGTACAGACCCGGGAACTCAGCACAGGGATGGTGGGCGCCCCTCATAATGGGCACAGCGGGTGTACAGACCCGGGAACTCAGCACAGGGATGGTGGGCGCCCCTCATAATGGGCACAGCGGGTGTACAGACCCGGGAACTCAGCACAGGGATGGTGGGCGCCCCTCATAATGGGCACAGCGGGTGTACAGACCCGGGAACTCAGCACAGGGATGGTGGGCGCCCCTCATAATGGGCACAGCGGGTGTACAGACCCGGGAACTCAGCACAGGGATGGTGGGCGCCCCTCATAATGGGCACAGCGGGTGTACAGACCCGGGAACTCAGCACAGGGATGGTGGGCGCCCCTCATAATGGGCACAGCGGGTGTACAGACCCGGGAACTCAGCACAGGGATGGTGGGCGCCCCTCATAATGGGCACAGCGGGTGTACAGACCCGGGAACTCAGCACAGGGATGGTGGGCGCCCCTCATAATGGGCACAGCGGGTGTACAGACCCGGGAACTCAGCACAGGGATGGTGGGCGCCCCTCATAATGGGCACAGCGGGTGTACAGACCCGGGAACTCAGCACAGGGATGGTGGGCGCCCCTCATAATGGGCACAGCGGGTGTACAGACCCGGGACCTCAGCACAGGGATGGTGGGGGCCCCTCATAATAGGCACAGCGGGTGTACAGACCTGGGAACTCAGCACAGGGATCTCCCAACCAAGTCCCTGAAAGACAGAAGAGACTTTTAGCGGGTTTCATTCACAGAACACAGAGACCCTATGACAGCCCTGCTTGACCTAGCTTAGGGTAGAGGTAAATCTAGAGGAGTTCCTCTGTGCACGTTGAATTGTGATATAATCTAGGAGCATCTCATGAAATTCCTTCACAACGACACATGGGTCTGTACACCCGCTGTGCCCATTATGAGGGGCTCCCACCATCCCTGTGCTGAGTTCCCGGGTCTGTACACCCGCTGTGCCCATTATGAGGAGCTCCCCCCATCCCTGTGCTGAGTTCCCGGGTCTGTACACCCGCTGTGCCCATTATGAGGAGCTCCCCCCATCCCTGTGCTGAGTTCCCGGGTCTGTACACCCGCTGTGCCCATTATGAGGAGCTCCCCCCATCCCTGTGCTGAGTTCCCGGGTCTGTACACCCGCTGTGCCCATTATGAGGAGCTCCCCCCATCCCTGTGCTGAGTTCCCGGGTCTGTACACCCGCTGTGCCCATTATGAGGAGCTCCCCCCATCCCTGTGCTGAGTTCCCGGGTCTGTACACCCGCTGTGCCCATTATGAGGAGCTCCCCCCATCCCTGTGCTGAGTTCCCGGGTCTGTACACCCGCTGTGCCCATTATGAGGAGCTCCCCCCATCCCTGTGCTGAGTTCCCGGGTCTGTACACCCGCTGTGCCCATTATGAGGAGCTCCCCCCATCCCTGTGCTGAGTTCCCGGGTCTGTACACCCGCTGTGCCCATTATGAGGAGCTCCCCCCATCCCTGTGCTGAGTTCCCGGGTCTGTACACCCGCTGTGCCCATTATGAGGAGCTCCCCCCATCCCTGTGCTGAGTTCCCGGGTCTGTACACCCGCTGTGCCCATTATGAGGAGCTCCCCCCATCCCTGTGCTGAGTTCCCGGGTCTGTACACCCGCTGTGCCCATTATGAGGAGCTCCCCCCATCCCTGTGCTGAGTTCCCGGGTCTGTACACCCGCTGTGCCCATTATGAGGAGCTCCCCCCATCCCTGTGCTGAGTTCCCGGGTCTGTACACCCGCTGTGCCCATTATGAGGAGCTCCCCCCATCCCTGTGCTGAGTTCCCGGGTCTGTACACCCGCTGTGCCCATTATGAGGAGCTCCCCCCATCCCTGTGCTGAGTTCCCGGGTCTGTACACCCGCTGTGCCCATTATGAGGAGCTCCCCCCATCCCTGTGCTGAGTTCCCGGGTCTGTACCCCCGCTGTGCCCATTATGAGGGGCTCCCTCATAATGGGCACAGGAGTCACACTAATCCAGCACGTTATTAATCTCACGTGCCCCACTCAATATGGCCGCCGCTTGAGTGGGGCAACTCAGATAAATAACGTGCTGGATTAGTCTGACCCTAGTTCATTCTAATAGTTTATAGCTGTGTAGTACCCGTATAGGGAAATGCCGCGAGTGGTGCACGTGCAGTACAGACTTCTCACCCAAACCTCTGGGCTTCTAAGTAAACCGGAAGTCAGATGGTTGGAGATCTCGAGGAGTTGGAAGTTTTGATAGAACACCGGTTCAACAAATGAAAAATGTATCACACTCATCATAGCTGATTGCATCTACAGACAGGAAGTCTCATGTCCACATGAATCCTCCCTCTCCTTGCTCAAGGTTCTCATGAAGGCCCTCCCTTCCCTCCCCGGTCTTCCCTTCCCTCCCCGGTCTTCCCTGCCCTCCCCTTTTCTTTTCCCTTCCCTCACCGGTCTTCCCTTCCCTCCCCGGTCTTCCCTTCCCTCCCCGGTCTTCCCGTCACCTTTGTCGTTCTCCCCCACCACTCCATTCATGTACTGGAGCCCTCAGTCTAATCCGTGGGTAACCACAGTGTCAGTGATGGCGCTTACATGGGGGTGATGACCTGCTCCCCTCCTCCATGTGACAGCATTGGGGCCTTGTGATTGGCCACTGAGCACAGGATCCAGGGAAGAGGGGAGAAGGTCACATGTCCCTCCAATACCTAAAAGTACCGTTCTTTCTGAGGTCTGCAACAGACCAACGGAACTTCAGGAAGGGCACAACAAACTTGAGTTTTAGCTGTTCCCCCATCCCCCCTTGTGGTCTATCCAGAGAAACTGAATTGGCAAAGTGTCAGATTCTGCCAGTTTCTGCTTTGACCAATGTCTGCTGACCCAAGGTTTCTATGTCTGTTTGGACTGTAGTGCTGATCTATCACCAAAACTGGAGACACACAACGCTAATTAGGAGATGACTTTTATAAATATTCTAATCCCGTGATAAATATCAGACCTGAACTGAGTGATGGAAACAAAGGGGAGTGGAAGGAGATGTCCACATTTGAAGGAGACATAGTACCAGACCCTCACTCTGTCCCTAAGAGTTCCAAGATTTGGCCCAAGCCAAGGCTACCACCAAGCGGGCTGAAGTCTTTGTTGCGTAGGGTAATGCACATTCCAGATTTGTATAAGAAGGGAGTTTTTGGCTTGTTTTTGGAGTTTAGGCCCCACGTCATTGATCGTCACTTCCCTACTGAATCAAAAATGATGCGGTTCTGTTCGGCCTGTTGCTTTTGGTTCTGGTTTTTTGCGATCTCGATCATCTGTCTGAGGATGTGAAATGTCAAGTCGATGGAGATCGGAGGGTCTTCTCTCTTTAGGCGGTCAGAGAAGACTTCCAGGAAGGTCCTATCGGATTCCTCCGGCCGGTTCTCCTGGTAGAGGGTCTGCAGAATGTCAAGGATGGGTGCCAGCTCCTGGACAGAGATTGGCCGGTCCGAGGACAGGGAGCCCTTGCTAAGCCTCAACTGTACACGAGGATCGCCTCCAGTCAACCCTCTCCCAAACCTCTCCTTTAGAAAGTACAGAAGAGCCTGGGCACCCTCATTGTTTGTTAACCCGTCCAGGCTAAACCTCGGACCTTCAAACAGACTCCTGTCCATGGGCCGGGCATTAACCTGAGCTGTCAAAATCAGGTAGCAGGCAAGTAGCAGGAATGGAGCTGCCTTCATGGTGGAGTGGCCTCCGGGACCTAGGAGGTAAAGGAAAGAGAAAAGACACTGAGAAGGAATTGTGAAAGGCTGAGACCAACCAGAGTAGATGCCAAGATGTTAGGCTGAGTGACCTGATGGTTTCTATTACTTCTTGGTATCCCCAATGTCCTAGCCCTTCCAACCCACCTTCATGTTTCAGATGTTTCTCTTCAACTTGGAGGCTTCTTACTCCTTGTCTTACATTCTCCATAGTATATAATACATAGAAAAGCTATAAGGGATGGTGGGAGCCCCTCATAATGGGCACAGCGGGTGTACCGACCCGAGAATGCAGCACAGGGATGGTGGGGGCCCCTCATAATGGGCACAGCGGGTGTACAGACCCAGGAACTCAGCACAGGGATGGTGGGAGCTCCTCATAATGGGCACAGCGGGTGTACAGACCCGGGAACTCAGCACAGGGATGGTGGGGGCCCCTCATAATGGGCACAGCGGGTGTACAGACCCGGGAACTCAGCACAGGGATGGTGGGGGCCCCTCATAATGGGCACAGCGGGTGTACAGACCCGGGAACTCAGCACAGGGATGGTGGGGGCTCCTCATAATGGGCACTGCGGATGTACAGGCCCGGGAACTCAGCACAGGGATGGTGGGGGCTCCTCATAATGGGCACTGCGGGTGTACAGACCCGGGAACTCAGCACAGGGATGGTGGGGGCTCCTCATAATGGGCACAGCGGGTGTACAGACCCGGGAACTCAGCACAAGGTGTCTGCCGCCACTCTCTGCTTCTACAGCCCTTGACAAGTATCCCTTACACCCCAATGCAACCCCAGGTTCCGGCTCCTTATACAGCGCTACATAAACAACCCACACACCCATACAACACCTCTTCCTTCTACAGCCCTAGATAAGTACCCCACACCCCCATACAACACCTCCACCTCCTCCTTCTACAGCCCTAGGTAAGTACCCCACACCCCCATACAACACCTCCACCTCCTCCTTCTACAGCCCTAGGTAAGTACCCCATACAACACCTCCACCTCTTCCTTCTACAGCCCTAGGTAAGTACCCCACACCCCCATACAACACCTCCACCTCCTCCTTCTACAGCCCTAGATAAGTACCCCATAGAACACCTCCACCTCCTCCTTCTACAGCCCTAGGTAAGTACCCCACACCCCCATACAACACCTCCACCTCCTCCTTCTACAGCCCTAGATAAGTACCCCATACAACACCTCCACCTCCTCCTTCTACAGCCCTAGGTAAGTACCCCACACCCCCATACAACACCTCCACCTCCTCCTTCTACAGCCCTAGATAAGTACCCCATACAACACCTCCACCTCCTCCTTCTACAGCCCTAGGTAAGTACCCCACACCCCCATACAACACCTCCACCTCCCCCTTCTACAGCCCTAGATAAGTACCCCATACAACACCTCCACCTCCTCCTCCTACAGCCCTAGATAAGTACCCCATACAACACCTCCACCTCCTCCTTCTACAGCCCTAGATAAGTACCCCACACCCCCATACAACACCTCCACCTCCTCCTTCTACAGCCCTAGATAAGTACCCCATACAACACCTCCACCTCTTCCTTCTACAGCCCTAGGTAAGTACCCCACACCCCCATACAACACCTCCACCTCCTCCTTCTACAGCCCTAGATAAGTACCCCATACAACACCTCCACCTCCTCCTTCTACAGCCCTAGATAAGTACCCCATACAACACCTCCACCTCCTCCTTCTACAGCCCTAGATAAGTACCCCATTCAACACCTCCACCTCCTCCTTCTACAGCCCTAGATAAATACCCCATACAACACCTCCACCTCCTCCTTCTACAGCCCTAGATAAGTACCCCATACAACACCTCCACCTCCTCCTTCTACAGCCCTAGATAAGTACCCCATACAACACCTCCACCTCCTCCTTCTACAGCCCTAGGTAAGTACCCCATACAACACCTCCTCCTTCTACAGCCCTAGATAAGTACCCCATAAATCCCCTCCACCTCCTCTTTCTACAGCCCTAGGTAAGTACCCCATACAACACCTCCTCCTTCTACAGCCCTAGATAAGTACCCCATAAATCCCCTCCACCTCATTCTTCTACAACCCTATAAAAGTTCCCATCACCCCCATAAATCCCCTCCACCACCTTCCATTACTGTCCCTATAAAAGTGCCCCTCACCTCATAAATCCCCTCCACCTCCTTCTTCTACAACTCTAGATAAGTACCCCTTCCTTTCACACCCCCACCCCCCACGCTCGCCTCACACTACAATCCAACAT